TGCTTAAGAGTAAAATTAGTTTAGCTACATGATAGTTTATGGAAACATTTTGCATTTTGTACCTATTTGAATTTTGCTATGTAGCGAATTGAAATACACATTTTCCATTCTGAAAAGTTGCTTTTCTTAATTTCTATTTTGTGTAAGCAATTTCTTGTACTTGGAGGACAGGGTAATGATGCTTGTTTTGCCTGGTGTGTATATGCCCCCTAAGTCACTTCACTATATGATACATCTTTTGCCATTTTGAACAACATCTGCAGGTTAAGCAGCCTGTCCTTCTTCTCTCTGGTTTGCAAGACGAGATAGTGTCCCCATCCCATAAGCAAATGCTGTATGCTAAAGCAGCAGCTCATAACAGGCAATGCCTCTTTGTAGAATTCCCTACTGGCATGCACATGGACACTTGGTTAGCTGGTGGTGACCACTACTGGAGCACAATTCAACAGTTTTTTGAACAACATGTGCCAGAGAAGAAAGAAAAATGCTCAAGCTTAAAAGTGCTGTTAACCGCCCTGTCTGCCCAGTCCCCGCACACCTTCTCTTTTTGGCAAAGCCTCACCGGTTCCCAGATCGAATCAGGCTAAATATTGAATCTCTCTCATGGCGGTCTGGGAGAGCGGGTTTTTACTGGTAGATAAATTTGGGACACGTGGACGGCAATGGAAACGTAACCTTACCCAAAATTCCAGCTCCGAAATGGGTTTCAAATCCGTAAAAATACCCAATAGCTTTCTTGAACTTTTACGCCACGTGGACTGTACGGTGTCTATCATCCATGTCAGACCTAGGCATAGTCATGATCCCCTACATCTCCAAAATCTCTTAGTCCTAGTCATAGTACTGCAACTGCTAGTAGAAATTAATAAATAGCTCAAATCAAGTTCTTTCCTTTCCTCTTATGATTGTACTATTCCAGAATTTGAATTTGTCTGTCGATTGCTTTTTGACAGAGCAATGCTGTATTTTTAGTACATTTAGATAGGTTCTCTGGGTAATTGACATGCTTATCGAGTGAGTTTGTCTCTGGGTAATTATTTGTAAGTATTAAGTTTAAATGCTGTGATTGATATTCTGAACTTGTTGCTAAACTCTTAGGTAGGTATTCAATTAAATTTTGCGTTTAACCTTGTTTCTTGTCTTGCATTTTCCACAACTTTCTTCAGTTTTGGTTGAAACATAGATTTCTACTATACTCCTAAGCATGTTTAGTATGATATCCATTTTTGGTTATCTGGAGTCTTGTCTTTAAGGTGCCTTGATAATAATTTGTAACTGGAATAGCGTAATTTGTTTCTCTGGGTAATACAACTTGTTGCAATTTGGTAATATATGTACATTAATAATGAATTATTGTCACCACTCTAGATGGCTTGTTTCTTGTTGAGTATTATTTTGCAAGTAATTTGCCAAACCTATATAAGAATGGATAGATCACTCTGTTTTTCTATTATGTCTACTTTAAATTTTATTCGATCAACATTGTTTTATTCAGAGAAGGAGAATCTTCGCTTGTATGGATATCCTAATGAACAGTGGGAAGTTAATTTACCCGCTGAGGAAGTGCCCCCAGAGCTCCCAGAGCCTGCATAGGTATTAACTTTGCTAGAGATGCGATGCAAGAAAAGGACTGGTTGTCACTTGTTGCTGTTCACAGTGATGTATGGTTACCAGTGGTGGCTTTCTATTTTGGTGCTAGGTTTGTTTTTGAATTTTTGATAAAGCTGATAGGTATAATTTTTTCCCTTACCTGCTGCGTTTTGTTGCAAATTCTTTTCCCTATTGAATAACATATGAGAGCCATTATTAATGCTTGGTGGACTACATACATGATAAACTTTGCTGTACCTGTGAGCTTTGGTGGTAGAAAAAATAATAATACTAGGAAATGGGCACATGACAAAATTTCACCTACCATTATGTCTCTCTCATCTTTCTTCTTTTGTCTTCATGTCATGTTGAATAAGTATTTAAACTTTTACTGGCTATAAGTGCATGCAAGCATGTTGTTCACCTCATTGACCCTGAGTTCTACAGGATCAACTCTTGTACATGAATGGTCAAGAATATGTGAGTTAATGCTGGACATGAAGCTTGGGACAGATGTCTAGATATTGTGTGAAATGTACTTCATATAATAATTCCAATATAGAGAAATTAAAACCAAGATTTAATGGAATTTTTTATTATAAGGAAGAAGGTTGTCATTGTTGTGGTCCATATGAATTTGCTGGATGTTCTTATGTTTGTAATGGTGGTTGAAGGACTCATTTGCGAACATATCCAATTTTTGATGCAGGAAACGTCTCTTCACTACGATAAATGATCTCCTAACAATATTTGAAATTGTCACTGGAAGTGCCAAGAAACAGGCAAAGGAGAAGTCATCAGTTTCAAATCATAGCAGCAACAAATCCAAATCAAGCTCCAAAACAGTAAGTGGGATATTAATGCTTAAAGCTTTCTGTTGGCTTAAGTAAAGTATAGATATTGGTTAATAGTAATGTCAAAGTCCAATAGCAATGTGGTATCCTATGAAGTCTGAACCTATGATGTTATTGGGATATCTAGAACTTCATTGTTCTGTCCCTTGCTATATTGGTAGCTGAACCTTCCTTTTTTCCTTATTTGGGCCAAACTTAGCTGAACATTCTCGTAAACCTAATTATGTCGTGTAATCTTCTGTCAATTATCCATAATGCAAACTTATTCAGCCTGTCAAGGCTATTTAGGGGCGCACATCATTTGTTATGTACTGTGCTTTTTTTGGGTTCTATCCACAGGAGGTGTCTTTTCTTTCTTTGTTGTATCACATTATAATTCCTGAATGTGGATTCTCATCATCACCTATGATTTTATTATTTTACCCTTGTTTCTGATTTCCTTTTTGGGGTGGTAAAAACATTTTGAACAAAAAAGTAAGTGACCTTTCCAATTGGGTATATGGATTATGAGCTAAGCTGATGGTAATACTATCTATTTAGTATCAATTGGATGTGCAGTTCTTTAATTTATTCGGTGTTGAAAGTTTATGTTTCCATTTTCGTGCTATTGTATACATGTTTATTTCCTCTATTTTAATTTGGCAATGAATATAAATACACAGAGGGTCTGAACCTGCTAAATTCTAAAAGTGCATGCAAGCAAAGGATGAGGAAGAGGGATTGGAAGAGGAAGATGAAGAGGAGCACAAGGAAACCTTGTGTGGTGCATGTGGAGAGAACTATGCTTCAGATGAGTTCTGGATTTGTTGTGACATATGTGAAAAGTGGTTTCATGGCAAATGTGTAAAGATAACCTCTGCCAGGGCTGAGCACATCAAACAGTACAAGTGCCCTCTTGCAGCAACAAGAGAACAAGACCTTGATATTAAGGAGATGCTTAGTAGTTTTCACCTCTTCTAATTCTCCATCTCCCATGCTTTTGGCAGCTAATTCTTTGGTCAGTCAGATTTTCTATGCCGGGACAAGTTGGCCAGCTCATCTATCAAGTACTTTTCTCGGGGACTTGCAGTTGGATACATTAGTATTGGTAGTTTTCAGGTGCTGAACTTTGTATTCTATTTGATTTAAGAATTGGGATGTATAACATTTCCACTGTGTAGGAATTCTCTTTCCCTGTCAAGTGAAGATTGATCTATTTCATTATCACCTGATGGGTTAATCGTTTTCATTTTGTTGGCATAGATTGTGTATTGTTTCTTTTTGCTTTGTTTGAGAGGGTCTAATTGTAGGAATTTGGGCATGGCAAATTTTGAACCTGAAATCTAGCTCCCCAGTAATTGATGTAGGAACAGAACTGAATCAGGTCACACTTTACGGTAAGAAAACTAAAACAAAATCCGGCCTATTAATAGCCCTAGTCAGTCACGAGTCACTTTTTTCGATAGTTATCAAAAGGACAAGAAAATGTTAGTTAATGGTTGGTGTCAGTATTAACTGAAGTGCTTCATATCTGGTTTCGTAAGATTCTAAGCCTCACGCGGGGGTTGGTTGTTGGTAAGAACGACGACGAATTAAGTTGAGATAGATTTTTGTTTGTTTTGAATTTGATTTTATTTTATATTCATAATATCTGAATTTAATTATAATAAATTTTTTATTTTTTTTATATTTGAATTCGATTTAATATTATATAAAATAGTATCCGATTTAATTCAATTTAAAATTAATAAAATATTATTTTTTAATATAAATATAAAATTAAATAAATATAACAATATATATAAATTAAATAATTAAATAAATAATTTGTTTTATATTTTTTTTTTGGATCGGAACAAGATAGGTTTTCTTAAAATTTGATTTTAATTTTTTATTATTATTTATTTGATCGGATCCAAAATTTAATTTAAAAAATTTTGATTTTATAAAATTTAATCGAAATCCATCAAAGACAAATTAGGCTATAATTTTTAATTGATTTGTTTAGGTAAGTGTTTAAAATTTAATTTTAATTGAATTAATTTTACTTGATTAATCAATTAATTATTAAATTAATTTTGATTGATTATTGAAAATAATTTTTCAAAAATTTTGATTTTTGATTAATTCGATTAAAAATTTAATTTTAATATAATTAATTAAAATTTAATTAAAAATAATATAATTCAAATATAAAATTAAAATATAATAAATAAATCATTTTATTTAAAAATTATTAAAATTATTAAATTAATACTTTAATATTTGAATATTTTATTAAATAATTTTATTTAGTTTATTTTAAATATAAAAAATTAAAAATATAATTTATCATTGTTGAAAACATTGCCAATCCAAAACGGACGATACTCTTAAATTTAACTAAAAACGTACAAGTTGAATTGCGTCAGTCAACAAAACTTCAACTTAACTTACCACATATAGGTATTGATGAATTTGTACCAAGATATGGACCATATTCAAAATCTCTCTTTTTGGCGTTCGCAATTGACTTGTTACTTCTTCCATAGCTTTTCAAAATTTTTAATCTTTTTATATAGTTACCTTAATTTTTATAACCTAAACCAGACATTCGTTTAAATTAATTCGCCTGAATTGTCAAGACGAAAAGTACTCCAAAAAAAAAAAAAACACACGGAGACATTGTTTTGAGTTTTGTGCTTGCATTTGTTCGTGTCCACAGAGAAATATCACACATCCAGCACAAGTGAAAATTCGAAGGCAAAAAAGCCTTCAAGACAGGTCTGTTGTATATACAAGTAAAAGAAACAAATAATCCTCGCATCACAGCTTGCTGCATCCATTCCCAAACATGGCTTCCTCCTGCTCACTATTCAACTCCTCTCTCGCCACCAAATCCAACTTCCAATTGCTTCATCATCAAAACAATCCAAAATTCAATCGTCCCACCCCTACTGTTATCTCATGTACTTTCTCACCTACTACTAGCTCCTCTAACAACAATTCCCCTTCTCCCCAAAAGAACCGACGCCTTCCCGATGAGAACATCCGCGACGAGGCTCGGCGCCGCCGCTCCACCGCCGAGAACATCTTCTCCGCCAAATACATTCCCTTTAACGCCGGACCCGACTCCACCGAGTCCTACTCGCTCGACGAGATTGTCTACCGGAGCCGTTCCGGCGGATTGCTCGACGTTCAACATGACATGGAGGCTTTGAAGAAGTTCGACGGCGCGTATTGGAGGGAGTTATTCGATTCGCGTGTCGGGAAGACCACGTGGCCGTTAGGATCAGGAGTTTGGTCCAAAAAGGAATGGGTTTTACCCGAGATTGACCCCGACGACATCGTTTCTGCTTTCGAAGGGAACTCCAATCTGTTTTGGGCCGAACGGTTCGGGAAACAGTTTTTAGGGATGAACGATTTGTGGGTTAAACACTGCGGAATCAGCCACACCGGCAGTTTCAAGGATCTGGGAATGACCGTTTTGGTCAGTCAAGTTAACCGTCTACGAAAAATGAAACGAGCCGTCGTTGGAGTCGGCTGCGCTTCCACGGGTGACACGTCAGCTGCCTTATCCGCTTATTGCGCTGCCTCTGGGATTCCTTCCATCGTCTTTTTACCGGCAAATAAAATCTCCATTGCCCAACTAGTTCAACCGATTGCAAACGGCGCATTCGTTTTGAGTATCGACACTGATTTCGACGGTTGCATGAAGTTAATCCGGGAAGTTACCGCCGAGTTACCGATTTACCTTGCCAATTCCTTGAACAGCTTGAGACTCGAAGGGCAAAAGACGGCTGCCATTGAGATTTTACAGCAGTTTGATTGGGAAGTTCCGGATTGGGTTATTGTTCCGGGTGGTAATTTGGGGAACATTTATGCTTTTTACAAAGGGTTTAAAATGTGTCAAGAACTAGGGCTTGTTGATAGAATACCTAGATTGGTTTGTGCCCAAGCAGCCAATGCTAATCCACTTTACTTGTATTATAAATCAGGGTGGAATGAGTTCAAGGCAGTCAAGGCAAATACTACATTTGCATCTGCTATTCAAATTGGTGACCCTGTTTCTATTGATAGAGCTGTGTATGCTTTGAAAAATTCAAATGGGATTGTTGAGGAAGCGACTGAGGAGGAGTTAATGGATGCAACGGTGCAGGCAGATTCTACTGGGATGTTTATTTGCCCTCATACTGGAGTTGCATTGACTGCTTTGATTAAGCTTAGAAATAGTGGGGTTATTGGAGCCGGGGACAGGACGGTTGTGGTTAGTACAGCTCATGGATTGAAGTTTACACAGTCTAAGGTTGATTATCACTCCAAGGAGATCCCTGATATGGCTTGCCGGTTTGCTAATCCACCCGTGCAAGTGAAGGCGGATTTTGGTTCTGTTATGGATGTGCTGATGAAGTACTTGGGAGATAAAGCTCCTAAGCACTAGGTGAATCGTTTTGAGATTTATGCTTGGTTTTTAATTTTGGTGTTGCCTTGCTTCTTTCATTTGTTATATAGATTTGGTCTAGGTTGGCTTACTCTGTAGAAATCATCCGTTAGCCACATAAATTATCTTATTTTTGAGTCAGAAGCTTTAATGCTTTTACACGTAGTTCGGTATTTGTAACAGTTGCGTCAATAACTTGTTCAATAAAAGTCTTATATTTGTGGCTTTGGGCGATCAGACTTGTAACCTACATAGATGGTTGTGCCTCATGAACATGCTTACCTTTACTCTGCATTCACCCAACAAAGTTTGAACCTACTAGGATTTATGCGCAAGTGTTTCATCTGTATACACTTCTCATGTAATGTAACTACTCAATTAATTTATTTCTAAAGTTTGGGTTTGTTGTGTTTGTGGGGTATTTGCCATGAAGTTGTTTGTGATTTACTGTTCTTTTTTTCAACATGTGGAAAATGAAAATGACCATCGAATGGTTGGTAGAGAGAGAAGAGACATCATTTTAAACAATTAGATGAGAAATAATCAAAGAACATTAAACAAAAAAAAAAAAAAAGGAAGAATGGAAAAACTTGCCTGTGAAGAACCACAACTAAGGAATGAAACTTTGGATTTATATATAAAAAAAGGAAGAAATTTAAAAAATTTGTAATTGGGGAGTGTTTTGCATGAGAAGAAAGCAGAAAACTTTTTTCCTCTGTTCGAATAGTGAGCAAGGAATTGATTCACTTTATATTTTCTTTGTAATAATAATTTATGGCGGAAAATTATGGAAAAATAAAATTTTATTTTTCTCCGCTTTGTCTTAAAGTCATTTATTATTATATTTATCATAGCTTGTAATAAAATAGACATGTTATTATTATTGTTTTAATTTGAGTGCTACTGCTTCGTTGCAAAATAGTCTATTTTTTTCTTGCTTGGGTACCACCACGTTTAAAATGACAACTAAACCCTTTCGTTTCTTGGTATTATTGAACCTTTATTGGTTGACGGCGGAAACAACCTTTTTTTCGCATTTCTAAATGGCCGACTTATTGCTGGCAATGATTGAGTTATTATAGTACGAAGAAAGGATTTGTTATTTGAAATTTGTAATTTGAAAATCCTTATTTATTGAAGATTGTCATATATGTAAGGATAAGAACAAAAATTTAAAAAAATTTAAAAAATTTAAAATTAATTTAAAATTATAATATTTGATTTAGATTAAATTGAAATATATAATATATATTAAGTTTGGATGAGGAGTAAAAATAAAAGAAATTGAATTGAATTGAATTATATATTTTTATTAATTTTATATATTTTTTTAAATTTTTAAAAAATAAAAATAATTATTTTATATCTAATTTTATTTAAATATATTAAAAATTATATTTAAATAATATATAAAAAATTTAAATTTAAAAATCGATAAATCATGTCAAAAGTAGAGCCTATAAAAGATAAAACTCGCTTAAAATTTTTTTCAAACACTTGGTGTACTTGATAAAGAATTCAGATTAATTGTTCAAATTAAAGAAGACTATGTGCTAATATATAAAAATTAAGTAGATATATGGAAGAGAAAATCTGTAATAAATATTATTCATTGAACATGCCTTAAATAGGCAAAATACATTAATATAAATAACCTAAAAAATAGCAACTACTTATAATCCTAAAGATCAGGAATAAAACTCCCATGCCAATCAATAAATTTATTAAGTAACTAAAGATTGGGCTAAAAAAAATACACATAAAGATATCAAACTAATAGAATGTGGACAACTCAACAAGGATAGTTCAACAAATATCTTAAGGATTATTCAACAAACCCTCCATTAAACTGAGTGATGTTAAATGATCAGTTTAAACATTATCCAAAGTGCATAATCCAAGCAACTTCTTCGTTTTTGAAATGCTAACAACTTGAGAAGTTTGGTAAAAATGTCAATAATTTGATCTTCACTCCTGCAATAGATAAGATCAACAACTCTTTCTATTGTGAGATCTCTCAAAAAATATTTTTTCACATTTATATGCTTGCATCTTCCATGAAAAATAGGATTCTTAGACAACTTTATTGTTGAGATGTTGTCGTAGAAAAAAGCAATAGGTCCTTATTTAAACTGACACTCTGAAAAAAATTTTCTCAACCAAATTGTTTGACAAACACAAGTTGTTGTTGTAACAAACCCAGCTTCTATAGTTGATAAAGTTACAATTAGTTGCTTTCTTGATGACCCTGAAACTATTGTTGCCCCTATCATAAAGACATAACCTAATGTACTCCTTTTATAATCCAAGTCGCCAGCATAATCACTATCTGTGAACCCAAATAAGTATAATTTTTCTCATTTCTTATAGAATAATCCATACACGACAGTACCTCGTAAGTATCTAATAATTTTGTTTGCTACCAAGAGATGAATTTCTTTCGGACACTCCATGAATTTGCTAATGAAACTGACAGCATGCTTAATGTCTGGTCTTGTTGTAATTAAATACATCAAGCTTCCCATAATTTGCTTATAAACTGTGCTATTAACTTTCTTCCCTTCGGGATTTCTAACAAGTTTCATACTGGCTTCAATTGGTGTGCCAACAGGATTACATCCCTTCATTCTAAACCTGTCTAAAATGTCCTACTCATCTAAGTCTTGTAAGAAGGCTGATTTAACGTCAAGTTGGAAAATTGACCATGAATTTTATGCTACTAAGGAAATCACCAATCTGATAGTGTCATGCCTCGCCACCAGAGCAAAAACTTCTTAGTAATCTACACCAAACTCCTATTTATAGCTTTTAGCAACTAATCATACCTTGTATTTATCAACTTTGCCATTCTTTTTCAACTTTTGTTTTGTAAACCCATTTCACACCCCTAGACACCCATTTGTGTCCAGATTAAATCAAGACTAATTTATTTTGTATATATTATTATAGTATAATAGTATATTATTATTACTATTATTATTATTATATCATATTATATAGTATAGTATATTACATCATATTAGTACTATTTATTTATCATTATTAGTATATCATATCATATTATTATTATTATTATTATTATTATTATTATTATTATTATTATTATTATTATTATTATCATCATCATCATTATTTTTGTTTTTATTTTCTTTCTTTTTTCTTAGTTGCTGGTGATCAAAGAAACGGATTTGGAGAGAACTCTTTTGGTCAATGAATTTTTAAATCAAAACTGAATTAAAAAGGCTTTCAGTTTCATCAAAATCTAGTCAAGAATCATGCTTGGACAGAACCAATCCAGGCTTGAACTTTAGGATTGGATTATGTTTGATTTCTAAAGCTGCCTATAAATTGAATTGAACATTAGAATGAATAACGGAGAGAGGACTAACTGGGGTGAACTGAGGAATTGGTGAAAAAATTGCGACTTTGGCAAAATTTTCTAGGTGGCACTGGGTTTTGGGATTCTAGGATCGATTTGAAGTTTTTATGTGTGATTTAAAAATTTTGGGTTAGATTTAGGTTTCTAAGGTTAAGTTTAGGTTTCTGGGTTCCTAAAGTGATCTGGGTTAATTTGGAGAAATCTAGGATTTTTCTAAAAAAATTTAGGTGTAGATGAATTTTTCAATGAGTTTTTGAATTTTTCGATTGAATTGTTTAGCAAGGTTGAATTTTTTGATAGGATTCCAGTGGTTTTTCCAAAAACTGATGGGTTTTTCAATTTTCGGTTGAATTTTTCAATGGTGCTTTTAGTTGGATTTTAGAAAGAAGGTAGAGAGAATCCAACTAGAGAGAGAAAAATAATGAGGCTTATGAGCAAAAAACACTGAACCTAACTTTTATATTATCTCTGTACAACGTCATTCTGGGTGACTTAGAATCCGCATGAACCTGAGTTAGATCCACGTGCAAACTCGTTTCATCCCAACCCAAATCGTAAGGTTTCTTTTTGATTTTATTTTATTTTCATATTTCATTTTATTTTATTATTTTTTATCTTATTATTTTTAGTTTTATAATTTTACAAGTTTTCATATTTTTTATTCAACATTAAATAATAATAATAATAATAATAAATAATAAATTTTTTTCTTTCTAGAAGAACAAAAAAAACTGAATAAAAAAAAAACCTCTTCAAAAAAAGTCTTTTTAAAAAAAAGAATAAAAAATAAGAAATATCATAAGTCAATTTTCAAAAAAAATATAAAAAATGTAAAATAAATAAATTTTTTATCTTCTAAACTATTCGAAGATTTATTCAAATTAAACCTTACCAAACTGTTAGGAGACTTAATTTTCAAATTCGTACAAAAATCTCACAAATTATTGAGAGATTTGCCTCAAAGTAAATCCTGCCAAATAATTAGGAGACTTATTATTTTTTTGAAATAAAATAATTTAATAAATCCTATGATGGAACCCATTCAGAGTGAAACACTAATCTCCATGAATATTTTTAAGATGATAGAATTATTTTAAATTGCTGCCAAACTATTGAGATAATTTTAAGACTAATTTTTAATATTAAATAATTTGATAAATTACAAATATGATCATGGGTTGGATAATTTGAAATCTAACTGACACCATCCTTTGAATGGGTACTGTGTGGTGTTATAACATTTCTCACACATAATCGTACTCTCGAACCTAAATTCTGGTTCGTGGATCAGAATATGCTTCAAGTGATCAATCACACTTATTTAAAAAAAAAAATTAGTAGTGACTCTTCTAATTCATATCTAACAATAAATCTACGGATCTATACATTATAACAATATCTATGGTCTTTTTCCTCTTCAGAAGCTCAGTTAGCTCCTAAGATTTGTTTTTTTCAATGGCAGTAATTTATTCATCCATTGCCTTCTTCCATTTTGATTCTAACACAGCATCTTTGTAAGCTACAGGATCACAATCTGAAAATAAGGCAAAATATTTAAGTCCATTCTCATCAGATTGGTTAATTCCATGTACCTCATAATCAATCATCCATACAAATCTTTTTCGGACACGTTAAGGACACTTTTCATCATTTGAATTAGCTGCTAGAATTTTGACCAGCTGAAATGATACTTTTGATTAGTTCGTGTTTGTTGCTCATTCTCTATGGTTTGTTACTGTTTCTCCTCTCCCATTTCTCTATCAAAATTAGCTGGTATTTGTTGTTTGACATTGCCTTCATTCCATTCTTAGAACCTTTCTTCATCAAAAATCACATCTCAACTGATAAAAATTTTCTTGGTGTTTAGATCGTGCAATTTGTATGCTTTGGAATAATTGCTAATACCAAGAAAAATAGACTTTTCTCCTTTGTCATCTAACTTCTTTCTCTTCTCATCTGGAATGTGAACATAAGCAATACAACCAAAAACTCTAAAATGATCCACACTTGGTTTCCTTCCACTCCATGCCTTT